TGCTGTGTTACAGCCACCTCCATTTGCGAGATTCGGTTTCCATTAAGGAAAATAGGTACGTCAGCGTGCGCCCGTTGTAAATAGGGAGCTGCGATGATGGACGACGGCTCGGAATGATGTATGGGGGCGCGGCGACACGAGAACTCATCGCGACACTACGGAAAATCCGGATCTCGTGATTGAGGAAAATCAAGTCTTGGCGATATTCGCGCGAGCGACTGTAACAACGTCGAGTATTAACTGTTTATTAACTCGTGTCTGCCCGAAAAATTTCAAAACGCTCTTCGTGCGCGCGGGAACGACCAAGCTCTCACTCTCTTTCGAGATTTCTCGGGGTGAAATCTCACTCGAGACGAGTGAAAATTGACTCGAAGCGACAGTGAAAACACTGTCACTTGGAAACTTAAGAATGAACGTTTCGCTCCAGCTTAGAATGGATTCTGACTTCGTAAGAGTTGAATGTTTCAATTGGAGTAAATTTGATCCCTGTGGGATATATCAGATTCACTCTTCAATTTCGAGTGGAAATATTCGCTCGACGACTCAACGTGGAAAATTCACTCTGCCGCGTGAGTAGCAAATCACTCAAATTTGAGTAACTCGACAGTTGTTCTACTTCTCCGGATAAACTTTCATTTCAAGAGACACGCACGAAAAAGAACTCAAACAAAGATTACATCGTGTTCTCGCCGGAGCCACGCGCGGAAAAATTTAGCGAGCGATTAATTGCGAAAGATCAACAAATCACGACGACGGGCCGGAGTCAAAGATCGGCGTAACTTCTCCGGAGCCGCTCCGCTCCTCACAATCCGCGTTTATTTCCAGAGATCCCCGATCTTTGCCAGCGGTGATCTATTTTTATCGGGACTCGCGTACATAGCCGTGGACACTATCTCTCGAACGGAAGCGGTAACCTCAAGCATAAAAAAAAAAAGAGCAGAAAAAACAAGCAAATCCCGCTGATGCGTCTTTTTCCCCGTTACTTTCTCGGGAACGTTACTATCGCGCACTCGCGATAACAACGTCAATGTAACCAGAAAGCGCGGCGTTACGGGACACCGCTAATATTTACGGAAGTCGCGCGTGTACACGATCCGGGCGATCCGAATAATTCTGCAAAAATACGCGTATTCCACGTGGAATATCTCGATTAAGCACGTTATCGTCAAAAAAATCGCGACAACTACACGTCACCAGCTCATTGCGCGAAGATTGCCGCAGCGTTTATCTAAATGTTCACACCGATATCTCGACGATAATGAAATACATAATATAGTATGGTAAGTTTTAACATGTATACTCACGAGGGTAAATTGAAAAGTTTCCGGAAATAACAATGAAAGCAAAATAAATTCGAGTTGTATTGTATTTTTCAATATAATCTCCTCAAAGCTTAACACGCTTGGTCCAACGTTTCTTCAGCTTTTTGATTCCTTCCCGGAAGTAACTTTCTTCGACGTTTCCAAAACAACCGTTTATACAGTGTCGATCAACTCTTCATTTGGCCGAAATCTCTTTCCACTCAGGAATGTTTTGAGTTTCGGTAACAAGTGGATGTCTAAGGGAGCCAAATCGGGCGAATGAATACGGGAGGATTTCGAACTTCAATCGATCTCAAAGAACACGCATGGAAAATGTCAAATTTAGTTGAAAATATCTCAACATTCGAACGGTCAATCTTTGAGATATCTAAGAACCGAATAACACTACGATCGCCCTAAAAATGTGGAATTTGCGAGAGTGTGAAACCGAAGAACGGATAACAGCGGCGATTGTATATTTAAGATCAGATGAGATCGATTATCGCCGATGTAAAATCTCATTACAATCCGCAGGAGCGTGATGTTTAGACAAGAGCTCGCGCCACGCTCGAGCTTAAAACAGTGTCGTACACACCGGATAACGCGCACGGTACTCGATCGTGAATTATCCCGCGGCTGTTATCGCACGAGAAGGAAAAAAAGAGAGATAACCGACCGACATCAGACGGCGCGACAAGATCTCGCACGCCGGCGCTCTGTATACTCAGCTGTTTGGCGTTCTACGTCATTGCACCGGGTGTCGCGAAAACATGGCGCGCGCGCGCGCACGTTCCCGAGCGCGTGCTCTCTCGATCCCAGCAAGGTTGTTGCCCTCGAAAATTTATTGCTCACGGACGCGAAACGTCTTTCCGAACGCGCATCCCCGTTTTTCCCACCTCTTTTCTCTGCCGCGTAAGATCACGTCTCGAAGCGCGCCAGAGAAAATTCACGACCAAATTTTATGACCGCCGTTATTAACGTGGCGCTTGGAAAGAACGTGAAAAGAGTTCGCGTGAGCGACGGCGACGATTCCGTCCTTCTAGAGGAGCGGCTGGATTCGAGCAAACACGTGGCTCTACCGCGCGGGAAATTTGTCTGAGAGAATACGGCAATCCGTGTCTCTTTCCTCAATGAGTTTTACGTAACACGTTCGTATGCAGCAGGAAAATTCGATCCTCCGTCATTCTCGGAAGTCTTACCGAATGTGTTCATTGAGATAAGAGAGCATCTTGTTGCCATTAGTGGTCGCGCGATCGCTCGTCTCTCTTCTATTAAAAATATTCTTTGTTTCGAATAAAAAGATATTGACAGAATATTTTCAATAAAATAGATAATATTTAAAATAGAAACGGAATAAAAGCAGATGAGACGGAGTAGTAGGTCTCGAAGAATTAAATACACTTGGCGAAAAAAAGAGAGAAGAGTATCTCGAAATGATCCCCCGCTTGGGCATAAATCCGACCGAGGTTACTCACGAGAGGCGTGACGACTACCAACCGTTCAGGCGCCGTGCGATTACGGTTCGAAGAGGAGGCTTGTTTTTTGCGAGGACCGTAGTGACCGGTCCGATAACTGTAGAAAGGCTCGGCGTTAAGGTCGAATCAGAAAGTGGCCCCGCGGTGTCGAAATAACGGTCGACGAGCAAGGTCACCGACTCGTAGGTTAGGCTAGGTTAGATTACGCATCACGTCGTCGACAGTTCGTAATGCGCGCCTCTCTTCGTCAATGGGCCGCGTATACGGCGAAAAGCAGCGCGGAGCAAGAAAAGGGGGGCACGCTACAGTTATTCCGGCGCGACGCGAAATGTCACGGCGGAGAGAGAGACCTCGGACCGGTTTCGTCTCGCCGCCGCGATGCAACGCGGTGCAAACGCGAGATGAAGAGAGGGGTGAGAGGGCAGAGCTTGGCATTTGTTACAAAGTGACGGCGACTAACGATCTTGTAACAGCCGAGCGACGTCAACAATTGAACAATCGTTAAAATATGCATTCTCCTACGATCGTCGGCTATAAATTACCCCATTCGAGATTCTCTTCTTTTTTCTCCTTTCCCGTGATTCACCTCTGCGGTTTAATAACAAGCAACGCCCCGGTGATTGATTTCTTGATATTCCTATTTTCCACGGGAAATTTATTCACAGTTAGTTAGCCCACAGCTATACACCCGCCGATCATCGGCGATGAATTTCCCGAGTCGTCATTCCGCCGGCCGAGACGTGCGCGTCACGCTAGGTGCAATTAATTTTTCAACGCATCGTTTGCGTACGCCTCTTAGAAAGTTCCTTTCACTGGTTACTCAATTACTTTTGTTGCTGAACACATCGCACACACACACACCAGAGGCTGTAATGGGACTCTTAAACGCCACAATCGCGCCCGTTTTTGCGAGCTACGTCACGAGCGATCTCGCTTTCTACGATCGTTATCTACCTCGCCCCGTAAAGGAAGCCGACTTTAACCCAATTAGCGAGAGAGAAAAACAGATGATCGAGGTAATATCAATAAAGGTCGACTAATAACCCCGTCGTCGGATCAATTAAAAACCGATCGAAAGGCCCATTCATTTCTTTCGACCGTGAAATAAGAACGAATTCCCCGAGACGAGGCTAACGAGCGAACTCGGACACTCGCGCGAGACGAAAGGGGCGTCAAAGCGAAGACAATTATCGCCGATGTCGCTGCCGGTTCAACGCGCTCCGCGACTCGTCAGGAGAAGAGCGAGCGAGTAATCAAGCGCGTATCATCGCCGAATTATTAGTTCTTCTCTCTCGAGAGGATCTCCAACGTTCGCGTGCCGCAGATTCATTATTGAGCGGCGGCGGCGACGACGGGCATACAACGGTCTCATTCATCGCGTATAAATACGGCGGCTGTGACGTCACCTGATCGGACGTTACGACATGGCAACTGAATGTATCTTTTGGTCGTCCCATCACGTGCTCGACGTACGTCTCTTTTGTACGCGTTCGGACGAAGGAGAGGGAGGAGGGGCGCGCAGAAGCTCTTGGAGGACGTTAGCTTCCTTTTAACGCGATCTCCCAAGCACGCGCATACGAATGCACATGTGCGGCGCGTACACGCGTGTGCGTGGCGTTGCCTTCTCCGCGCCAGATGGCCGCGCACAGACCCCTCTCTTCGCTATTTATAGAAGCGACCGATAAAAATGCCGAAAAAATTACGTCGACCCAGCTAGCGTGTCGAGGCGAAGGATCGTGCGTTACGTGCGAAGAGCTCGGTCCAAGTAAGGTAAATAGGAAGAAAAACGCCGCGTCGTAGGTTTACGCTGCGTACATTCTCGAAAATAGACGGCGTTCGCTCATCGGAGGTTCGTAAACAAAGGCGGCGACTCGACGGGAAAGAACGTCGCTCGCGATTCTCATTCACCAAGCGAGGGTACGATTCGGACAAAAGCTCGGAACAAAAATATCCCCGTAATAAGGCCGGATAGGAAGTCTTTAGTCTAGTAGAGGCCTTTTGTTGTCAATTCTAACATGTTTTCTAGCGTTCCTAACCGTCACCGCAATTTGTCGAGATTTAAGTCGCGAGAAACGCTTCAAAATCTACTCTATAAGGTTCATTTCACAGAAATCAATTTACAAGTAAATTTCTGAGTAAGCAATTTGAGGCTTTGCTCCGAGCAAGATGTAACGCAATTGCGGAAAGCAAGAGGTTTCGATCCATCCTTCTTTTTCTCACTCACCGTTGGCCTTGAAGGTGGTCGCGGTCTCGAAGCTGGGCGCGCGCACCGGGTGCTTCTCCTTGTTCCTGTCCTGCACGTAGCTGACCGCGAGGCTGACCGCCGGCAGGGAGTCGCCGCGCGTCAAGGGCGGCCTGACCGGGTGCTGCTCCTCGAGGGAGAGCCTCTTCTCGCCGTGCTCGTCCTCGTCGATCGCGGAGATGCCGCGCTTCAGCTGCGTGATGCCGCGATTGTGGCCGAGGTTCACATGGTGCGCCACCGCGGCCAGATGGGCGCTCGGCAGACGCACGTTGTTGCTCCTCATGCCGTTCGCCATCTCGTGACCATCCTCGTGCTGCCGGCCGATCTGCTGGCGGGCGGCCGCCGCCGCCGAGCCCGAGTTGAACTCGATGGAGTTGCGGTGATGCTGGAGCTGGGAGTAGCCGGCGGCGATGTTGTGGTGCCGCGAGTGGCCCTGGCCGGCGGCGGTGTTCTGGATCGGCAGCACGTCGAGGTTCGCGCCGCCGTTGTGCTCGCTGTGCGCGGCGGCGGTGCGGTAAGTCTTGGAGGCGGAGGGCCGCGCGTCCTGGAAGCCGTGGGCCTTCTTCAGCTGCTTCGCCGACTCGAGCACGAGGTCGATGCGATCGGCGCCCTCGTAGTTGACGCAGCCGCGGCACACCGGCTCTGAGAAGTCCATTATCATCGCCCAGGGCATCCTGGGCAGGTCGCACAGGTAGCACTGCGTCCGCTTGCCCATCATCTTGCCGGCAGCGTGCGGACGATCGCTCGGGACGGTGGTTGTTGTTCCCCGCGCCTTATCACTCACGTCCACTGCGCGCACACCGTCTACTAATCCCCCTCTTATCTCTCCTCGCGCGATATTCCTACCACTGAGAGCTTTTTAGACGCTCTGCTCTTCCCCTCGGATCACTCCGCTGCTTGTCCGAAGAAATGAGAACGTCAACTGCCACCCGTCTCGCGCGCACTCCGTCTCGGCTCGCGGGCACATCAGCCCGAACGACTTCGCGAACGATCCCCCGAGAAAGTTGCGTCACACCGGCGGAAAAATACGCGATCCTCCCGACGATGGTGCACTGCAAAGGGACCGCGGTCTAACCACTTTCTTTCGAACGCGCGAAATTAACGGATTATGCGCGCCGTATATACGCGACACTGCGAACGCGCACTCGTACGTCTGGCTGGCGGCTGCCGTGCGAAGAGACGAGCGTTCGAGAATGCGGCGGCAAAAGCCGACCGTCGCGCGCCCCTCTGCTCCCCCCACCCTGAATCACTCTCTCTCTCTCTCTCTGGTCTTGAGCATCCTCGCCGATCTTGCGCGCGCCTGTCTCGATTCGGCCGCGCTCGGCACTCTCCGTGGTTCAGAATTCTTTCTCTCTCCCTCGTGTGCTTATCACCCTCCCTCCCGCCACAGCCCTGCCGGGTGGCATTGCCAGTCCCCCCCCCCCC